GCAGTGGGCAGCCATTTTTTTGCTGCGGCGCCCGGGGAGCAGTTGGGGGTTCGGTGCCTTGCTCAAGGGCACCTCAGTCGTGGTATTGAAGGTGGGAGAGAGCGCTGTACATTCACTCCCCCCACCTACAATCCCTGCCGGTACGAGACTTGAACCCGCAACCTTTGGGTTACGAGTCCGACTCTCTAACCATTAGGCCACGACTTCCCCATGTACATGAAAAGGAAGAAAAGGAAAGCTTTTATGAAGAGTGACCCATAATGCTCCATTTTACTTTTTTTTTTAAGAAATGCCATGTTTTTCTAAAGCCATATAATTTACTCTAGAAAAACAGTAACTTTGGTAACACATACAGTAAGATTCAATTGATTAACACTGGTAAATGCATCATGAACTAAAAATAAACAACACATTTTTTACAGAATTATAAAATGTAGGCAGTTTTAAATTAAAATAATAAAATAAATAAATAAATAAACTACCGTTCATTGTTAATTCATGTTAGTTCATAATACTTTAGTTAATACAACTTGTTAAAAATTTATTATTAAATGGAGAAATTAAATCAATCAATAAATGCTAAAAGGTTGTACATACATATAACTTATTGTAAAATGTTACCATAAATATTTTGAAACTAAGCATGCCCTTTTGGTTTAATAATTTTCTCAGTTACGTATGTCACCAAGTGTAATAAAACCATTTTGTCCGGGGAACTACATGAACCAAATCCCACCACCATCCAAGTCTTCCGTTGTTCCCTGATTCTCTTTTCCCCGCCGTCCATTTCTTTTTCCCCTTTCCACAAATATCTGTCTCTGTTCTCAAGACTTGTCAGTTTATATGTGAAGCATGTTTTTCTCATTATTCTGTTGCTATGGTTGGCTTGGTCCTTCTGTTACCTGTGATTGGGTCATCTCTCTCTTTCTCTTTCTCTTTTTCTCCCTTCCTTTTTTGCTCTCATTCCCAGTTTCTCCCTCTTTTGCTGCATTGGGTCAGTGTTTGCCAAGCATAGCATTTCAACAGTAGAGAGATTGTTAGGAGCCTGTGTGCTCAACCTAAGTAACACCCTCCCACACATGCATGTCAGCGGAATAGCTCCCCTCCGTTTGTGAACTCCTCACCTGTCTGGGAAGCTTATTGGCAGGTCAAATGTGTGTACATACTACTGGATGGGGCATTGCATTGCCACACTGGCCCCCTGTGTCTGACTGAGGTTTGCATCGGACACCCTGGTGTGCAGCACCCGGAAGGAAAACATTTCTGTAAAAGCTTTTTGTTCTGAAAAAGACTTCAACGACCTCACAGAATAATTATGTCTAATTATTCCTGTTTAAATGGGTTTTTGACTTCCCTGTTTCCATTTTCAAAAGACGAAAGTCCTGTTTATACTATTTTAGCAACAGAAGTAGAATGTCTTTCATGGTTTTGTTTTTCTTTTCTCACCTTTCTACCCTCTCATCTATTTTTTCCTTCAATTCGGTTTCTGGTTTTTTTTTTTCCCCTTTACTCATGGCTCGAAAACGTGTCTATGTTCCTGTCTGGATTTTAATTACTAGCTAGAGTGTGTTTTGAATTCGTCTTGGAAAAAGTGGGCTAACGTCTGATATTAATGTGCATGGATGAGGATTTGGGAAGTATTTGCACGTATGCAGGGTTCTTGGTGGGAATTAGGGATGCACCGATACCGATACTGGTATCGGGCCCGATACTGAGCTCCTGTACTCGTTAAAATGCCCCGATACCAAACGCCGATACCACACAGCATGTGATCAGTGCCATATTCAGACAAAGAAACACCGACAACAGAACAACAGACAGCAGAATGGAGTTATTAGATATTAAGGATGTCTACGAAGTATATGTATGCAATTAATATAATGTTAAACATTCAGTATTAATGCCTGCATAGATGACGTGCGCGAGCTGATAAGCAAAACACGCTGAGTGGATTGAGCGCGCGGCGGCGCAGATGCGCGAGCTTGTCGAACGAATATCCCTTTTTCACAGACATCACTGTTTGTAGTTCGGTGGGATGTCAAAAACAAGTGAGTAAACCAATGCATAAGTTACTTAACGATAAGGAGAGAGAGAGAGAGAGAGAGAGAACGCACTTCTGTTGCGTGATCTTTTTTGATGTTCGCTCACTTAGCAGACGCATCATTTGGATTAAAACTAAATTGTAAATATAAAACAAAATGTATAGGGGTATTTGCTATAAACATAATTTATGTTCAACTTTAAGCATAACACGACTTTATGGCGAAAGTGAAACTATCAGTCAGTGTGAAATGCGCTAGGCTGTACCATACTTGTCCCTCTCATTCTGCATCAGTACAAATACGTGCGCGCGTTGCGCATGTTTTGCTTGCTTCATGAGTGTTTCTGCATTATATGAGTCGCTTTGGAATATAAATCGCAGCATGTTTCAGATGGAAAAAAACGCGCCTTATATTTCTGAAAATATCACAGTTATATATTATAAATCACAGAGATTTATAACGAGTGGTTCCCTGCATTATTACAGCAAAACGCGTGATTACAGTACTGAGCCACTGCAATGGAGCAGCTCTAATACCATTAAATTAAAAATGATGTACCATAGAGCAAAAAAAAATAAAAAATTAAAATGAACAGTGAAAGTAACAAAAACTTGTAAAATACATTTTAATGGGCATAATTAAGTGTGAAAATAACTGAAGAATATACAGTCAAACCAAAAATTATTCAGACACCAGATTTAATTTTTTATATTTTTTTTACTAGTGGGACACTATAGTTCATTTATGCAAGTGAGGATAGCAGAATAAAGTGAACTGTGACATATACCCAAAAATTCTTCATACTGTGGACTACCAGTAAAACTGATCATTTGGGACCAAAAATTATTCAGACTGAGTCTGGGAAAAAAATTTAAGTTCAGGTTTGCATGAACCTGGCTGACAGCATGCCCATGAGACCACAGGCTGTCATTGAGGCTAAGGGTGGCCTGACAAAGTATTGATAGTTGTATAAATATTGTCATACTAACAGTTCTCTGAATAATTGTTGGTTGATTGTAATTCATTACATACTTTTCTATAAAAGTTGTCTGATATTATGAAGATGAATTTGTTCTGACAGTTTAACTCTGAGTTCTTGTCATATTTTATTTTCTAAACTATAGCGAATAAACTGTGAAAATATGAGAAATGTTGAATAAATTTAACTTTGACTGTATCTATTTACTAAATGAAGTTAACCAACTAACATTATACATATTATTTTAATTTGTGTACCCAATATTTTAAAAATGTATTGGTAAATTAAAAAATATCGGTATCGGTACTCGGTATTCGGCAAGTTCCAAAAATAAAAATAAATCGGTATCGGGCGAGTACTGGAAAAAGTGGTATCGGTGCATCCCTAGTGGAAATAATTGTTGCAAATGGATAATATTGCCGTTTGACATGGTGGATGTCCAGTGCTTCCAGATCAATATAGCCTGTCAAAAATATCTGAGTTTGGCAGTAGAGTGCTGCAGGGATGACATCATTTTGTAGGCCAGCCCAGAAGTTACCATCACCCTGGTTCCCTTTAAAAAATCACACAGGATTTTTCCACTGTCTTTAGGATTATTGCAGAAATTAATCTGTGACCAACAACAGTTTCTGAAAATCCATGAGAGGGGCATTACTGATGAATTTTTGTGTTGTAGAATACAAACAGGAAAATATCTTAAGCTTGTGTTAACCATAGACCTTAATTCAGACATTTAACCGAAAAAACCCATTCAAAAAACAAAAACAAAAAAAACATTACCTTTGGGACGATTGACCTAAAGTGCAAACAAGCCTACTTATTTCTGGGTTTTAAGGCTTGAAGCACACTTTTGGCCTCTTTTTTTCTGTGTAATGTTCAGAAGAAATGCGTATATATATATATACACCATATAGTTCCAGTGCAATCATCTTACCTTTAAAATTGATTGTGTCATGCTTCATACCATTGTTTTATAGTTTTCATAGTAGTTTATGTGTCAGAATGTCTAGGACTAGGGTTGGGCGATGTCTACCAAATTGGCATCGGACGATGTCTACAGTAAAACATCGTGATGGACGGTGACATCGGGGGGGCAGGGTTAGGGGGTGTGCCCGAAGCATGAATCCGTTTGCAGAAAGGCATGGAAAACAAATAAGGCGTTCTACGGAGCCACTAAAGGGACATGGTTAGCCGCTTGCTAGCGGTAAACTGTTACGTTACAGCACATGAAAGTTCACTTACCACATACACAGAGTAAGGAGAGATGACTGATATGACAATGGACAATGATTTGCAGATACTGAGCACCACTGACAAATATCTAATCTTGTAAAATGTGTGGTAGGTTCTGCCGCTCCGTAGTATAGAGTCCATGTGATCGCGAATCTTGAAAGTGAAAGTGAAAGTGAAATGAGAGCGCACATTCGAAAGCGGTTTCAATACCCTGTATATTAGTAGCGGCTCTCTGATGGCCGCAATTTAAATACAGTATTACCCAACTATATAATTGCGAGAGAAAGTATTGAAATATTTTTTTATCCTCCCATCTCGTAGGCTATTTATTCCCTTTAGGGGTTTCTTAGTACACTTAATTTCCTTTCCGAACACGGAATTGGATTGCAGGGGGTGCTCATCCTACAACAGTTAACTTCTTTATTTTCATGGAAATAAAAATGATCATGACTCATCTCTTCACTTTTAACAGCTCGCTGGCTACAATGAGAAGCCGGTGAGCCTGCAGATGTTCATCGGGACAGCGGATGACCGTTATTTGAGGCCGCACGCATTCTACCAGGTTCACCGCATAACAGGAAAAACTGTCGCTACGGCAAGCCAGGAAATTATCATCACCAGCACGAAGGTTCTCGAGATTCCTCTCCTTCCTGAAAACAATATGTCTGCCAGGTACCTGCCAACAGCCCTTCATTTCAACATCAATCTAGATTCTCACTCTCACACACAGAAACATAAATACACATTTGTTTTTCTATCATGGTGAGGACTTTCCATTTGACTATTGTTTTTAATAATATTTTATATCCCCTAACCTGCCTATTTTTACTTATTCATTATTTAGTACAGAATGATAAAGTTATTGTCCTTGCAATGGCTGTCAGCTGCTCACCACAATGTAGATTGTTTTAGGTAAAGAAATTTGGTCTCCGCAATTTAGTGAAATACGCACAAATGATATTTACTCTGGCCTACCGCTAAACCTAAGCCTAACAGAAAACTTTTGACATTATTGGATTTGAATTAAATATGAGTCTTTTAAATCATGAGAAACTCTTCACGTTTCATCACAAGTTGATTTTCTATGTTAGTAAAGACATTTTCAAAAATGTGTCATTCACAAGTAGAATGAAACCTTTACACACACATGAGCACTCTTTTATCACATATATACTACTGTCCAGGAGTTTGGGATCAGTAGGATTTTTTAAATATTTTAGAAAGGAGTTTTTTGTGCCTAGCCTACATTTATATCTATTTTAATATACTTTAAGTCATTTATTAAAGTAATAAGTAATTTATCCCTGTGATGGCAAAACTGAATTTTCAGCATCATTACTCCAGTCTTCACTATTGCATGATCCTTCAGAAAACGTTTTAATATGCTGATTTGGTGCTCAGGAAACATTTCTTATTATTATCAGTGTTGAAAACTGTTATGCTGCTTCATATTTTTGCGAAAACAGTGATAGATATTTTTTTTTGTATTATATAATGAATAGAAAGAACAGCATTTATTTGAAATAAGAATGTTATGACAACTGTAAATGGCACAAATTTAATTAATCATTGTTATCAATTTAATGCAAAAGTTCACTTACCACATACACAGAGTAAGGAGAGATGACTGATATGACAATGGACAATGATTTGCAGATACTGAGCACCACTGACAAATATCTAATCTTGTAAAATGTGTGGTAGGTTCTGCCGCTCCGTAGTATAGAGTCCATGTGATCGCGAATCTTGAAAGTGAAAGTGAAAGTGAAATGAGAGCGCACATTCGAAAGCGGTTTCAATACCCTGTATATTAGTAGCGGCTCTCTGATGGCCGCAATTTAAATACAGTATTACCCAACTATATAATTGCGAGAGAAAGTATTGAAATATTTTTTTATCCTCCCATCTCGTAGGCTATTTATTCCCTTTAGGGGTTTCTTAGTACACTTAATTTCCTTTCCGAACACGGAATTGGATTGCAGGGGGTGCTCATCCTACAACAGTTAACTTCTTTATTTTCATGGAAATAAAAATGATCATGACTCATCTCTTCACTTTTAACAGCTCGCTGGCTACAATGAGAAGCCGGTGAGCCTGCAGATGTTCATCGGGACAGCGGATGACCGTTATTTGAGGCCGCACGCATTCTACCAGGTTCACCGCATAACAGGAAAAACTGTCGCTACGGCAAGCCAGGAAATTATCATCACCAGCACAAAGGTTCTGGAGATTCCTCTCCTTCCTGAAAACAATATGTCTGCCAGGTACCTGCCAACAGCCCTTCATTTCAACATCAATCTAGATTCTCACTCTCACACACAGAAACATAAATACACATTTGTTTTTCTATCATGGTGAGGACTTTCCATTTGACTATTGTTTTTAATAATATTTTATATCCCCTAACCTGCCTATTTTTACTTATTCATTATTTAGTACAGAATGATAAAGTTATTGTCCTTGCAATGGCTGTCAGCTGCTCACCACAATGTAGATTGTTTTAGGTAAAGAAATTTGGTCTCCGCAATTTAGTGAAATACGCACAAATGATATTTACTCTGGCCTACCGCTAAACCTAAGCCTAACAGAAAACTTTTGACATTATTGGATTTGAATTAAATATGAGTCTTTTAAATCATGAGAAACTCTTCACGTTTCATCACAAGTTGATTTTCTATGTTAGTAAAGACATTTTCAAAAATGTGTCATTCACAAGTAGAATGAAACCTTTACACACACATGAGCACTCTTTTATCACATATATACTACTGTCCAGGAGTTTGGGATCAGTAGGATTTTTTAAATATTTTAGAAAGGAGTTTTTTGTGCCTAGCCTACATTTATATCTATTTTAATATACTTTAAGTCATTTATTAAAGTAATAAGTAATTTATCCCTGTGATGGCAAAACTGAATTTTCAGCATCATTACTCCAGTCTTCACTATTGCATGATCCTTCAGAAAACGTTTTAATATGCTGATTTGGTGCTCAGGAAACATTTCTTATTATTATCAGTGTTGAAAACTGTTATGCTGCTTCATATTTTTGCGAAAACAGTGATAGATATTTTTTTTTGTATTATATAATGAATAGAAAGAACAGCATTTATTTGAAATAAGAATGTTATGACAACTGTAAATGGCACAAATTTAATTAATCATTGTTATCAATTTAATGCATCCTTGCTGAATAAAGGCATTTAAAAAATCTTGCTGACCACAAACTTTTGAACAGTTTGTAAATTGCATTTATGTACAGTACAAAATACATTTACAAAAGTATGTGATTTATAACATGTAATTTCTGATTGAAAACATTAAAATCTGCCATTTTTAATAAGCACAGCTTAAACTTTGATTTCTGTGCCAGCTTTTAATGTACACTTAAATTGAAAATATACTGCTTTGTTATCAGTCATTTATTAACTCCATGAAAAGAGTATAAATCCAGAAAGTGACTTCGAGTGAATAGAAATCATTTAAGCCAGTGGTCGCCAACCCGTCGATCGCGATCGACTGGTAGATCTTTATCACTGTCCCAGTAGATCCCGAAAAAAAACAGTAAAATAAGTACAAAAATGCATTACATTTATGGGGTTATATTAATGCATCACTGAAGGGTACTGTCTTGTGAAAAGTTTCGATGGCAATGGCATTTTCTTCTCCTCCGTATAAAGCGCAACTCTGCTTTGTTTACAGCGGTAACCAAGGAAACGCTATAGTGCGGTCGGTTCATAAGCAGTGTTGCCAAGTCCGCGGTTTTCCCGCAGAATTGGGCTTCTTTAACACTGTTGCCGCGGGTTGTTGTTCATGTCCGCGGGTTGAAGCGACCCCAATAACGTGATATTTAGTCCATGAAATGTGAATTTAACTGGAAGATCCCCGGCGAAAAACGTGTATTTTATCCCCGATTTTTACAGGGGAACCCTCCTCGAAACGCGATTGGACTAGTTTTATTGCGAAAACCTGGAACCTGGGTTCATAGGCGCCACCTGCTGTCAGAGAGTGCGTCTCATTCAGACCTGCTGTTGTTTCACGCAGATGTTTTATGTAGCAAATAAATAAATAACACCATAAGTCAGACCATTCTGTTTTTGTTTTAAATCCGTCAGGGATCTTGGGCCTAAAAAGTTTGGTGACCACTGATTTAAGCAGTTTTGCTTGACAGAGAGGATGATGGAATGCATACTTTTTGTCTGATATGTTTCTCCTGCTATGTTTGTCAGTATTGATTGTGCTGGAATCCTGAAGTTGAGGAACTCTGACATTGAGCTGAGGAAGGGAGAAACTGATATTGGACGGAAAAACACTCGGGTCCGTGTGGTGTTCCGGGTTCACATCCCACAACCCAATGGAAAAGTGGTCTCGCTGCAGGCTGCTTCAATTCCAGTGGAGTGCTGTAGGTTTTATATACACACACAGAGGAAAAATATATTTGAGAGAAAAAAAAATGTATATATATATATATTTATATTATATAAATATATGTTATTATATATATATATATATATATATATATATAACTGTCTAATGTGAATTACTCTTACCTGTATTTGTGGTTAAATAGCCCAGCGCTCTGCACAGGAGTTACCTCAGGTCGAGAAAGCCAGTATTAGCAGTTGCCCGGTGAGTGGAGGAGAGGAAATGGTCATCATTGGTTCCAACTTCTTCCCCGAGTCAAAGGTCATTTTTCTGGAGAAAGGTCCTGGTAAGAATCAATGGGGTTCAAGTGCTATTTTAGCTTCTTTTCTCATGTATTGGCTCTCATCATTTTTATTTAATATTTTTTCATTTTTCTAAGAGCATTTAAGTAAAAAGAAAATTATTAAATTCCATTATATTAACTTATATTTAAGAATCAAGTTATAATTAATTGTTATTCCAGGCAAACGATTTACATTTATATGGCTAGTTTCATATCTCTTGGGCCTTTTCTTCTCAGATATTTTTCTCACTTTATACATAATTGAAAGTCAAATCAATATTTCATATCCATTTGTTTATTTATTTAGTAAGTAGCTATGCACTAAGCTGGATAATGTACAGTCAACATGTCATTATATCAAAATCAACCCTTTTTAGGATGATATTAGATCCCTCCACTTAGTATCGTTACTTGCGTTTGGCTAGTAATAATTCCTTTTAGCAGGTTGCTGCAAGCTCTGCAAGCACAGCTGGGTATGCACTACAAATGTCTTCATCATTCACTGTGAGCAAATATTGCCTCCTCACCTGTCTTACCCTCAAGGATCACAGTTATACCTGCACTAATCTCTGTCTTAGTGAAGCTAAAACAGCCTTATTCTTAAAAACGGAAAGATCAGGTGGTTTTTAGTTCAAATCTGTCTGGCTTTGGGAAACTGGAGCGATGGGTAAAATGTGAAGGAGTCTCGATTTCTCACTTCTAATTTGAGAGCGGAATTTGATTGTTTCTCGTCAAACCAGAGTGATTTATCTTCGCTTTATCAGCATCTTGACCTCCCACGGTTTCCCTTCTCCTCTGGGGACACTGTGTGTGTGTGTGTGTGTGTGTGTGTGTGTGTGTGTGTGTGCGCGCGTGCTTGTTGCTCGTCTAACCAGAGTGATTTATCTTCGCTTTATCAGCATCTTGACCTCCCACGATTTCCCTTCTCCTCTGGGGACACTGTGTGTGTGTGCACGCATATGTGTGAGTGCAGTTCAGCATGAACACACCTGCACACCTACACACACAAACACCCACTGCACTCAAGCGAGTGCTTACTCCATACATGCATATGAAGAGTTTATTTGCAAAAACCAATAACTGTTTTTTTTTTTTTTCACAAATGCACTCTGCACACACCTACATCCACACTGCGCTCACTCCATGAACACATGTGCAAGTGCTATAATGTGCACACAAATACACACCCTCATTCCCTATGCTTATAAACTTGTCTGTCTCTCCCCCCCCATATGTTCTCTCTCTCTGTCCACGCACGCACAGAGGCTAGATTTATAGTTGGCCATATTGTGGGTTGTCACTGTTGTTCTAGAGCACACCTGTAGACCTTAGCATGTGCTGTAAGGATGACTCAGAGGTGAGCAGGGTTGCTCTGGCTGCAGGCGCACTGCTGATCACTCGCTGGATCCAAGACACAAAGCAAATAATAGCTTACTGTGTGTGCAAGACAAACTTTGTGTTTCCTTATCTAAAAAAATATTGATTTCACTGAAGCCTGTGTATATAATGGATTTTTAACATATTTTTGCACTATGATAGATAAAGCACATTATAATGCATTTTTTCGTAAAGGATTTTTTGTTCAACCAAAGCTGTATATTAAAATGCTTACCTATATATTGTTGCACCTTTAAAGAGTGTGATTTGTTATATAATGTTATATTGCCATCTGTACATGATTAATGTAATACAGAATTTTACAATTTAATCTTTTTGTAAGGCCACAGTCAGCTACTAATCAAGTACTTAATTTAATTAATCAATCTGCCTTTCATGTCATTAAAATAAAAAATTTAATTTATTAAAATGTAAGTTTTAATGCACTATAACAGACGTACCCAAACGTTTTACTATGAATGGCCAAAAATCAAACTTAATTGAGTGCCTTGCTGCATTATATCCAATTATATTACATAAAAAAAAGAAGAAAAAAAAAAGAAAAAATGCTTTTAAGGTGTAACCATAAAAATCGAAATATTTCCATAGTCCATACAATACTTTTTGGTGGCTTTGTTTCTGCTGTGTTAGGTAAGATTTTATTTTTCACTTTGGCTACTATGCTGATAAAAAAACAAAAACAAATATTACAAATATGCCTTCTCTTTAGTCAATTAAATATGTGTCAATATGACTTGATTATATTTCTACAAATGGCAAGAAATCTAAAATGTGGTTTTGTCTGGTATAGTTTATTTATTATTATTCTTAACTGTAACACATACAACATATATTAGAAGGTGTCATACTAAATACCTTTAATACATTAAATACATAGGCTTAAATTAAAGTTTTACCACAAATTGTTCTCTGAAACTTTGTAGCTGTTTTTGAAAACAAGTGAAATACAATGTGAACAGCCTCAAGAAATGCATTTGGTGCCAGATGAACCTAAAACCAGCCTAATTATTCAGAGCTTCATTGAGATTAGTTGACTAGATTAAAGCAATCCACAGAGTAGTCCATTTTAAATGTATTTAGTTTTGAATGTTGCTAGTTATGTCTACCTGGCAGATGACTGAAGCTCATTTGTTTCAGGTTGCTCTTTCTCTCCCGTTCGACACACACGGCTGCCATGTGGCTGTCAGTCTGAAGTCTCAGCTTACAAGAGGCTTTATTAGACTGACTTTTTGGGGTTAGTCTGTGTCATGATCCCCAACAGTGCTCTGTTTGTATGGATTTTTGTGATCCTTTTGAGTCTCACTGTGAGCTGAAATAGACCTTTTACACTATGAACAGAGCCCTCAGAGACTGTCTGTCATCTCCAGCAGACGATCTCTCTTTTTACTTCCTTTTTTATGTATTTTTTCTCTCTCATTCACTCTCTTACTCTTTATAACGTCAGGCATGGTAGAAAATCAGTTTTTCCTTGACTCTTTCTCGTATCACTTGTGTGCTCTCGTTTAAATTCTTCGATAAGCAACTCTTCTAACTCTTTCTCTCTCGTTCTTGCTCATTTTTTCCATTGCTCGTTTGTAAGTAATGAAACACAAGTTAGGACCAGCCTCAGATGAAGGCAATGAATGAAAGGCATTCTGGGAATACGAGTCTTGGCCTGCCTTGTGTGTGTGACTGTGTGTGTTTCTAGTTTGAGACAATGACACACTGACTCACTCAATTGGAGTTTACACATGAACACCCAGGGCTGTTCTAACCCAACAAACTGACTCAGAGAAACACCCTTTGGTACTTACCTCTCCTCTAGTTGGCTCCCTGTAAAGTGGCAACCCCTCAAGGCATCCTGTATGGTGATAACCCATGTTTTTGTTGCATTGTATAAAAATGGAAAGTCCTGAGATGCTAGAACAAGTAGGGTGGAAATTTGGCTCTTATGTCTGTCCTTGAGCAGCCCTGGAGGAAAGTTCATATGTTTTCAAGCAGGAGCTTATCAGAGAGTTTCTATGTGATTTGTGAGAACATGTTCTGCAGATGTGTTTGATTGAAATGAAATATGTTTTTAATGGTGTATGCGGTAATATGACACTGGTCTTGTACTTTATACTGACCTAGCAGCCTCACATAAACTGTTGGTTACTGATGTCAAATACTGATGCCCTATTTGCAGTAAGCCATTAAATGTTTTCAGAAAGTTAAAAATGTGCAGTGACAGGGTTACTGAGAAAAAAAATTACTTTATTTTTGAATTGTACATGACAACATGCCACATTTGTCTGTGCACTGTCCTGTGCAGTGGAACTCACTGATGTCTTCACAGACATTTTCAACATCTCGCTAAGCCAGGCTGTTGTCCCCACATGCTTCAAAGCCACCACCATCATTCCAGTCCCGAAGAAGTCGTCTCCATCCTGCTTCAATGACTACCGTCCAGTTGCACTTACCCCCATCCTCATGAAGTGCTTTGAACGGCTAACAATAAAGCAGACTTGACTTGACTTGACTTGACATTTAGATGCAGTATTATAATATTTTGAGACTCAAATTAAAATATAAGTAAGATCGCTGGCTAAAGTCTGGAACACTTCAAGTTATATCCACAATTCACTCCAAACTATAGACAAAAGGCAAGTCATTTTGTGGACTGGCACAGAGCCGTCCATCTGAGAGGCCACTCTAACGGTAAGGGACAAACCAGGACGTATGAGAGGAAGGGGACTGATAATTTTAGGTCTAATTTTGACAGATTACATCTAATTGGGTGATTTTTGTATCTACAGTAATTAGATGGATTGTGTCTTAATGAGTAGCCCATATGGTGGTCCTGAGACTTTGTAACTCATTTTTGATTTGCTGAATGGATAGATATATAGTTAAGTAGACAAATGGTTCAGGTTTTTAATCACCTGGACAACCATAGAACTAGATAGCAAAGGTTGCACTGCCCCCATATTCAGAAGCTTACCAGGATAGTTTGCTGTGAAATCTTTGCTCATTTCTATCATGTAAACACAAGAGTAACTTTTATATTGTAAGTAATATTTCAAGATGATCACTTATTAGACTGAAGTATCTTAGGTTCCCTTGATTTTCCATGCATATTTTTTTTAATAAATTATGTTAATATACTTAAACATAAAAAAATTGTTACAATGCAAGTATCAAATCAGAGACATGAGGCTTTTGTGGAATGTTTATTTGTACATCTCTCAATCATCGTGTTGTATTACATTATATGTTTTTCCCCTTACAAAAAGAAACTCCATAGCTTTGATCATAAATCTAAGCTTTTAAATTGAAATACAAAAATATGCATTTTGAGTATTTTGCTTATACTGATATAAAGATCTCATTGATTTACATGGTTTACAAGCTGTCAGAACTTTTATTTACTTTTTGATCATATAAATATCGGCAACTGCAGCAAATCGAATATTTTTGCTGACTTTGGTCCTCTGGATAAAATTGAGGGGTTGTTTTTCTTCAAGTATGAGCTCCATTTTCTCTTATTTCATACGCCATAAGCCTATGTATCAAATATGATACTTGACAAAAAACATGCATCTTTATGGTTTTTTTAATATATTTATATGTAACTTTTGTTATTTCATAAGTCAGGCTTTACAGGGTTAAAACCCTTTCCTCCTAGAGTCTACAAAAGATTCATTCATTTGTTTTGGTTACAATGAGAGAATATAAATGGCAGATATGAAATATTAAGTACAGTTAAGTGTTAACTACGACAAAAATCAGACCCACGAAAGCTGACAAAAAAAAAAAAAAAGGTTTTTGTGTTTATAATTAATGATTCAGGAAATTGTAAATGAAGAGTTACATTAACCATCTGTTTCAGTTGATGCTAGTTTACGCTTGCCAGCAGGATATTTAATTCCACATAATGACATATAAAAGCTTTGTAGGATTTTGCCAGAAGTTTATTTTTCTTGAGTTTGTTTATCATAGTAGTAATAACAGAACAGCAGTGTTCCTGGCCTGACGAATTAGGACAGCGTGTGTGCTTATCACCGGGCTTTGTCAGTCTGGTTCCTGTTTGAACCTGCCCTCATGTGGGGTCCTCTTCGGTGTCCAATGAATGTCAACATGTGCTGCTGCTGTACTACTACTGCTGAAGTTACAGGCAACCAAGGTCATTCTCATATTAGCAAAATGCCTTTTGACACAGAAGGGAGTTGAGACACTATACAGTAACCTCATGTAAACAGCAGTCTCTGGAGTGTAATGCACCAGGTGATTATGAAACTGCTCACAATGGTATTTTTACTTTGAGAACAGTATTCAAACACTGCCGTCTACATTACCCCTTTTTTGCAATATATACGCATATGTACCCACTCATGATCATTACACATGCAAAATTACTCATTTTAGACATTCTTGGGATTATACTGCTGTTTGACTCATGTCAAGCACTAACTTCAAAGCTGGAAATGTGTTTAAGTGTGTAAATCAGACCTGTGTCATGCTGTTTGTGCAGTTTATGTAATTTATGATCCATGAAGTGACTATTTTCCCTTCCAGGATCAGTCTTAACCAGTTGGCTCTGGTCCCTTGGCTTTCATTTTCTGTCTGTAAGACGTCTGCGCAGTTGATTAGCTTCATGGCAAAGGAAAAACCTGAGATGACAGCATGTTTCCAAGAGATCCTGCACCTCTCCACGGGCAGCACGTGGAGGCATTGTGCTATGAATAAAGTTATTCCATGCATCTTGCCATGATTCAACAATAAATAATGTTCTTCCACACATCTCTCTAAAACTCTTAATGGCTTTATAAATGACATAATTACCTGTTAGGAGCCCAAGCGACTTCTATGTTCCTGTCAGCAAGGGCAAGCAGAGTGAGACTGATCTGATTTTCATTAAAAAGTCTCTCAAGTAGCCCGCTGTTAAGAAGTCCCTCTGCTCATACAGCTCCAGCATTTCTAGCGCTCTTTCTTCTGAGAATTTAATGTCATTCATTATTCGTAGTCAGGTCAGTGTTGTATGCAGTCCCTGCATTGAGCTGACATTTTGATCTATTTGAGCAATTGAGCCTTGAGAGTTCACTATGTGGAAAAAGGCTTATCATTTGCAAGCAAACTTAATTTATCAAGTTTCACTCTGGATTCGGTGCAGGAGCACCTGTAGAAACATGCAGCTGTAGAGCTCCCCTCTGAACCTGATGAAACTTAAAGCTGATTGGCTATTTGTAACCTTAATCTCTAAAGCTTCAGCGGAGGGCTGGAATACATGATGATGATGATGATGATGATGATGATGATGGTGGTGCTGAGGGGCAAATATTGGCACACAGAGTTCAGTTCAGGTCATTGTTTATGCTAGCTGTCCTAATATGTTGTTCCTGCATATGCAGCTAACACTTTTCTTTCTTCAGATGGACGACCGCAGTGGGAGGTGGAGGCAAAGATCATCAGAGAGAAGAGTCAAGGAGTGAGTGAATATTTTCCTTTTTACATGTTTAAGAAAATATTTGCCAACAAAAGCAAAGACAATACACAAGACATAAATATGTCTACAAACCCTTTTCAGTCTTTCTTTTCTTTCTTGAACTAAAAGTTGAAATGCCCCTTTGAGTCCTCTGAGTGTTTAACGCATGACAGATTTGAGCACATTGTAGTATGTTTTGACTATATTTGAACTTTGTATTCTTCAGTGAGACAACTTTGATAGGTTTGTCTCAGACTTCAATGATGTGTTGTTTAGTAAAGTTATGTCTCTCCATCTGTAGTCTAGTATCGTGGTGGAGGTGCCTCCTTATCACAGTAAGACGGTCACTTCAGCAGTGCAGGTGCAGTTCTATGTGTGCAATGGCAAACGGAAAAGGAGCCAGTCACAGCGCTTTACCTATCTGCCAGGTACGTATTTGACATCACATTATAATTCATTTCATATCACGGCACTTACTTCCCGAAATTGGAGCTTTATAATAAAGTAACTACTTGTTGCTCTTCATTAAGCAGTGTCATGTGCTTTTATGACCTCATAAAATTTAATATACACTTAAAGATCAAAATCTTGGAAATCAGAAATCATTGTAATATGTTGATTTGGTGCTAAAGAAGCATTTCCTATTATTATCAGTGGTGAAAACAGTGCTACTTAACATTTTATCAGAAACTTTGATACTTTTTTTCCAGAAAAGAAATAATGATTTCTATGGGGGAAAAAACTTACCCCAACCTTATGAACAGTACTGTAGTTTATATAAGTGCATAAAAGCAAATAAAACCTCACAGGTTCAAGTTTAAATGAGTTTAATATAAAATGTACGTGATGGCATTTTCATATATATATATATATATTATCTACCAAGTTCTGTCATGAAACTCTAGATGGCGCAGGCTGATGGGTCCTTAACGTAACTGATGATATTCTTAGCATTAAACGAGCTGATTGGTTCATGTTGCATACGCAGCCAATGAGCTTGCTGCTTTACATTTAAATGGCTGATTAGCATTCACTTGAGAATTGCAGCGCACTTTCAGAGTTCCTCTGAAACCCTCCACCTTCCCCAGCTCCATCTGTATAGATCTGCTACGGGGTTATTTTATATGATATTTGTGCAGCAGCAGTATGTCTTAAATACTCACAGCACCATATCGGCTTATGTATTGGCAGTAGCAAGTTCCTGTACTTACTTGTGGCAGCAATAATCTACAAATAGGACAATAACCAACAGCAGCAGCATAGCAGATCTATTCCACAAAAGACCAAATACATTAACACTGACATCCATTACCATGCTAAAATCTTCAGAGAGTTTATTTCTTCAGATATATATTATTATTAATTGCAAGCAAATGCTATATAAAACATATTGAATTGTGTTATTATTGCATTTTGGAATTTGTGGCGAATTAAATGCAAAATAGTTTTCTTGCTAACTTCACATAACAGTAACAAGAATGGCACACATGTGGGTTTTCACAGCAGATTCACCCGATTGATCATGCCAGCATTCCTCTGCACTGTGCACCAGTGTGGTTAGGGATGAGGTTGTTCCAGTAACAGTTGAGCACCTGGTAACCACTCATGTAAAACACCTTAAAGAATCAATCTGCATGATTTACATGTGGCTGGAAGCATGAAAATCCAGGGTTTTTAAGAACTGGACCCCTTCAATGTCTTTGTCTTTCTGTTTATCTTGCTCTCGTTAAACCCTATCATTCTTTTTACATCTCCCATTGGCTTCATCTGTCTTAATAGTCATATTTTGCAGAATTGCTTTGCATTTTGGAAGATTTTCCCCTATGATAAGTCTGTTGAACGATGAGGTCAATGATTCACATGGTTATTCTAATTTGTCACACATGTTGAGTTGGCATGCATTATTACATCAGCAAATTATTAGCTCTGCTTTTGAAATGAACATTGAACATCTGATGAAATAGTCCAGAATCCAGGGCATAGTATAAGGCGACATCTAATTATGGCTTAGAGAGTTTCTAATAAAGTGTAGTCGTGTGTGGTTCTCATAGCAATAAGCTGGTTTGGTATTAATTTCCCAAAGTGAGTCAAACCGAAAAACAGCGTTGGCGTAATTAAATGACACGTGAGCAACTTTTTTGTGTGTGTCTCTGTCTCCGAGTTGCATGCTAGCCTGTAGAAGAGATTGAGAACAAAAAGAGAGGGAGAATAAGAGAGCAAGATAGGCCCAGCCTCCCGCCCACCCTCTTCGCTCCACAAAGCACCCACTCAAATTAGGGTTTCCTGTTTTCCACACTAACCCATTGGGCCTCAGCCAATCAGACGACAGCAGAGGCAGCCAATATTCTGAACAGGCCACGCAACTGTGGTTGCCATGGCATCGGCCCGCTGAGAAAGTGGCATGTCGGGGGAAGGGCTGAGGTGCTGTGTTGTTAGACTAGAGCCAGACTCTTCATGTGTAATGAATAAGCAGGCTAATGCAATGAGCAAAGATCTTAATCCAAATTCAAATGAAATACAGTGTGAATGCTTTTGGACCTGCGAGGAAGTAGTTTGTAATAAACCTAATTGAATGCCTGAGGCTTCTTTGTTGGTCACAGACAAATCCAACAAATCTGGAAGTGAATGCTATTAGCTGCATTTATCAACTGAAACTAAACTTTTTTTCGAATGCATTGTAGGTACGCAGTGAGTAACACCAGACTCAAATGCATTCACACTCTCTCCCACACATGGTCGCCACTTGCTCTTCATATCAGGAAACTACAGTTTTACCGCAGTAATGGCCTTGCAGCAGCGTATGTGCTGTGAACTGGATTTTGGTTCCCATTTGGAGCTATGCTGGAGGGCAGGCAGCATTCTTAAGTTTCCAAATTCAGCACTGGTTTACATGGCACTCAAGCAGGCAACATACGCTCTCTTAGAGTCCAGTAAAAATATCCCCCACTCATGCGGGCCAGGGAAATGGCAGATTGGGAAATGGCAGATTGCTGTACACTGTGTTACTATTACTGTGAGAGGAGAGGAGAGG